GCGAAGAAAACCGTGTGAGCCGCGTCTCGAGTTTGTTGAGCGGGCCTGCGGTGTGCGAACTAAACGATGCCTACAGATTTTGACGGCCCCATGATGACTGACATCCATCACGGCAGCACCGTGCAGCAGGTTATATCTACCAAAAAAAGAATACTGCTGTATGTAGTTCACAAAATCTACAGCAACAATTGCTTGCAGCAGCAGAAACGCACAACAACAGCAGCACCACACGCGGATAGACACACACACAGAGAGAGACGAGCACTCCTCTAAGTACGGGGCGTTGTGTGTCGTCGTGTCCTCCTGTTCCTCTGAGGCCTAGCGTCTCCTGGGCATCCCGGGTGCGAAGGGTGGCCTTGGCGTGAAATATGTGCCAGTATGGCAGTATGGACTGTTGAGGCTGTTGCTGCAGACGAGAGCTCTGCTTCCGAAGACAACGGGCGTTAGATCCAGGCTCCGAGATAATATTGAATTTGAGAGGGAGAGAGGAGAACCTCTTCGGGGACACTCCGGGCGGTTTCCCGGGGTTTCGATCCGTCCGGATGTTTGGACTGTGGTTCTCTTTTATAATCCATGGATTGCAAATATTCGCGCCCCGACAATTCTCGGGGGGCTCCGGTGAATTATCTGTGAAACAGCATACCCCCCGCTGAAGTGTTGCTGCTCTCTGTTCTTGCTTTCTCTGCATGTGTGTGTTCAGGGCGCTTCGCTTGCCGGTTGTAGTTTGCGCGCAGACGTACACGTACATACGAGTACGATCACACGCACGTTCATGTTTGACTCGGCGGTGCCCAAGGAAAGCCCGAGGACAACCCGACGACAGCCATCGACCACGGCGGTAGCAGCAGCGGCAGCGGTCGCAAGAGGAATCGGGACCGGTGCGGTCGTGCCCAACCCTCTCCATCCAGCAGCAGGATGCCGGTTACTCGGCGTGCGACTAGCAAACTCGTCCAGGCGCGACAGCGCTCGAGCGATGACGATGCTCCGACGAAGGGTGGCGTTGCGTTGGGCGGTGTGCAAGCCAGCCCCGACTCGGAGGTGTCAAGACGGGTGAGGAATCCGTACATCCTCGCCAGCGTACGCGTGTGTGCATGTTTTTCTGCTTGCTACTGCTGTCATATATGTGTTTTGTCTGAGGTTAGAATGCTTGTTGCGGAGGTCAATCAACAAACGCAACCCGCCTCCTCCTCTCCTCGGGCCACCTGCTGTGCAAATCCGCGCTCATGACGAACGGCACCGGTAGCTTTCTGTGCTTTCGTGCTGTGCGTGCTACGCTCTCTCTCCTCCGGACCCGACGAACGTGGCTCTCATAAACGTTGCAGTTGCTGCTTCAAACTTAAGAACGAAGCGGTCTACTGCTGCTGTTTGGCATCATGAATAGCTGACACGTCGACCTTTTCTCGCTCTCTCCATCCAGTGTTCATTTAGCGTCCGCTGCCTCTTTCGGGTGAATTCAATTTGATCCGCAAACAAACACCTCCCAGTACGACGAGCGGCAATGAATCCAGCCAAGGGCAGCCGCCTCGTGACCTGTGCATACAGCCGCAGTACATAGCGAAATGCACTCCTTTCGCTCTCAACCTCGTCTACCAATCTACTTCACACAAACGTCTGGCCGGCTTCTTGCTGCTGCTGCTGCTGCTGCTGTTGCTGTTGTGTTATTTTTTGCGTTTGTTTGGAGCAACAGCTGGATCTACTCATGGACAAGTCCTTCGGAGATCTTCAGTTCCTCTCGGACGAATTTGCGAAGCTGGAGGTCGTGGTGGCGCCGGCAGTGCAGGAGCGGGGTGAGTCGTCGCCGTCGTCATGCCATTTTGGCAACGCCGAACGAGCAAGCCCGTTGGATACAGCAGTAGTCTAGCCTCTTACTGTCAAATCCCTGTATGTGGTACGCTCTTACAATATACCATCGTAGCAGTTATGCACATGGATCCGCGTGCGGACTCACGTGTGGACTACTACACAGCAGTATTAGTATTGTACCATTCATGTTTGGGTGACCTCAGCGCTCTGTTGAGTGGAGTTGCGAAGAAGCAGGTCGGCAAGTCGTGCTGATGCGGGAAAATACTTCGATGCCTCTCGTCACTCTCTCTTTCAACGACTTGGCCTCATTCGCCCTCCCCCAGTCAGAGCATAACGCAAGTCTCTCCTGCATCGAGGAAACATCATCTCTATCTCTCCCGTTATGTACGGGTCTGGATATACATGTTTCTTTGCGTGCGTCTTCTAGACCAGCAGCAATAGTAGCCGTCGTTCGTTTCCGGTGCAAAACGCCTCCAAGTCGATCATGTGGACAGCAGACCGGCGCAATGGTTTTCCTCCACTCACTGAAAAGACTCCACCACATCCCGTTCGACTACTGTGTGGGTATATCTCGAGTGGGTAGTCTTTCTGTGTGTGTGTTTATTTTTCCTTAATTGTTTTGCGAAACGGCTTCGCACAAAAAGTTGGAATTTATGGTGTACTTACCATTTGCTGCGTACGTGTAAGTGCGTTTAGAGGAGGTGGATCCACTAAATAGTCGGTCGGACTCCACGACAATGTTGACACGCGTCGGACGTGTTTTATCTCTCCAGACCTTGGTGTCCATGAAGCAGTAGTTGGAGTATCTTCACTGCTGGAAAAAATCGTGGAGAGAGAGAAGGAGATCTTTGGGTGGAAAGAATGCACGCGGAGAAGGGTTTGGCGAGAAGTACGTTCCAGAGATCTTTGGGGTGGAAAGAACGCACGCAGAGAGGGCTTTGGCGAGAAAATTTTTTACCACGACATATTCGCATGAAGTTTCTCCCTCTCTTTTCCGTGTTTCCGAAACCCGAACAAGAATTAAAAAAAGGTGGTAATCCGTAGGATATGCTGCGGGGTCCCGCAGTGTAACTCTTTCGCCTGCAAGTCTGGCATTGATCTTTCCGACTATGGTTTGCGAAGATGTTCAACATTGGTCTCGCCCTGGCACTTGCTTGCCTCGACCGGAAGACGCTCACCACTGTAAGCTCGATCCATATCATTATTTAGCTACCTCCACGCCACCAACTCCTGTCTTTTGTTTCATAAAAGCGCTGGGCACCACCGTGGATTGTTTGCTTTATCTCCGAAGAACGACACCGTTCTCGCTTCGCAGTATTTATGGTAGGACTCTTTTTTTTTTAAAGATATACGTATACATACAACCAAAGAAAGACTGACCATACCCACAGCAGTCGAAGGGGGATATACTCTTGGTTTTTACTCTTGTCAACGATTCGTGTCTCCGCCGCTGCCGGTGGTTTTTGCCCTGCTGCACGCAACAGACGACAGCGGCAAGGCGGGCACAGACTCGAAGCTGGGGAGGCTCCGCTTCTTCACCACACACGTCCGTCGGACGATGGCCCGGATGCGGGACGCGAGGAGCGGGCGCGACCCCATGTCCATGTCCCAGCTGGCTCTGCTAGAGGAGCACATCGCGACGTCCATTGCTCCGGTGAAGGAGCGCCTCGTGAACCAGTTGGGCAGCGGCAGCAGCGGCAGCAGCGGCAGCAGCGGCAGCAACAGCAGCCTCGAGACTATCCTCTCCCCGGGAGCGGCCGCCGCGGCTGGCGCCCGAACCCGCAGCGAAAGCACCGGCAGCGACCGCACCCGACACGAAGTGAGCGCGACGGAAGGCGACGGGGGCGGGGGGGGGGGGGGGGGGCC